TATATATATATATTATTAATATGTTAGATGTGTGTTCTATAAAAGTACATTTAAGATTTTCTAAAATACAAAACTGAATTTATACATACAAACTAGTATGAATATATGTGCTATGGTCGATTAGACGTTGCGCTTGAAAACTCTCGAAAAATAGATGCACCAACAATGCGCATGAAAATGTTATTTGCCTTAAAAACTCTTCTGGTTTGTCCATATTTGAAACTGCCTGAGAAGATTTAACGTTGTAATTATAAAAGAACAAGTAATATTTTGATTTTAAATCTTTTTATAATTAACATTATTAAATTAGTTATTAATACTTTTATTTTTTAATAACATTAAAATGAATCTTGAAGTAATGATCAAGCAGTTAATTTTATATATTAATAATTCATTAATATGTAAATTATAATTCATTACTTATATTAATTCATGCAATAACATTATTATAAGACGAATGATTAAGTTGACGTACCGTAACACCTGTCATACTTATAATAAGCATATTGAAACCTGCTACTACAAGGAACATTTGGCTAAATACTGCTTCAATGAGACTGGCAAATCTTTATGCGAATTAAAACATATTTTAATTAAATCATATTCATATATGTGTATTTATATACGTTATATAATTATATGAGTACAATAAATATACAATTTGCTTGAGTATATATAATATATACATTAATGTATAGTAATTGTATATAAATTCAATATAAATAATAATTTATTATATAAAAATAAATAACTGTATGTATAGATATATATGTGATAATAAAATAAATTACATAATATCTATTGTAATAATAATATATATTCTCTATATCACAGCACCTTAAAGCTCTTTTGTGTGCATGAATGCTGCTTACAATATTTTCATACGGCTTATCCTCTTTTATAGATGGATTAAAATTTATTTCTAGATTATCCTCTTTTACTATATTTTCCAGTTGTTGCCTGATGCAATTGATATACAAGTTTTTAAACTATTTCCCAGATAGCAAAGCGTGTCTCAGCAAAATCGCACAAATCTGTGATTGCTT